AGTCATGAACAAATCTGACAGGCCGAATGTGTATATCTGCACGGTGAGCAGCGTAGATTCTTTCCAACGGTTGATTATAGTAGGTGTGATGGGTGATACATTGTTGAGTGTGCTGAGAGCACTATTTACGTAAACATGATTGAATCTGCACTTTGCTCAGTTCGTGTATCTCTGTACAGGCGGGTGCTGAGCGCGCCTAGGAAGGCTGGACGTTTATTTTTTCCTGTTGTGGAGAGAGAAGGGGGTTGCCTTTTACTGCCCCTGCAGAGCACCCCTGCATGACAGCTTTATCTTTATCTCTTCTATTTTTTTGGTGGAGTCGAACGTTGGTCGGGTTTTCTCAAGTGCCCTAAAGAAAGCTCGATTGTATTTCTCGCCCGAATTTCGAGGAAGCTCCCACCGTGCAAAGACATGTTTTACCTGGCTAGGCAGTGCTTCTTCTTCTCCATACACATGTGCACAGCAGTCTATCTACGCCGTGATTCCACGGGTCAGCCCGCAAGCACGGTCGATGTCGATGTCTCCCACCAAGATTGTCACACGCACGGCGCTCTTCTCGGGAAGAGTGAATATGTGGTTGCATAGGATGCAAGAAACTACAGAACGCAACCACACGATCCCTTTGTTCGGCAGACGAGACTCAACAGTATGCCCTTTCCATGGATGAGTCGGTCACAGTCACAGCAGTCGGTCCTTATTTTTTATGGCAACATGGAGCAGCTTGTTAACACATCCCTCCCCGTCCGGCTTGTACCCTACCCGAACGTTTTCCCTGTCACCCCTTGTTTCACGCAGGTCACCGCGGGTTCTCTCTAGAGAAGCACGTGTTTGTTTTCGCTCTGAAGGATATCGCGGTGGAAGACGAACTCTTCCACGACCCCGTGGAGAGCGTCATCAGCCTGTGAACGGGCTTTAGGGGGCTGTAGAAAACTACCTAAAGCCTGGTCACAGGCTGATGACGCTCTCCACGGGGTTGTGGAAGAGGTCGTCTCCCACCGTTATGTTCTTCAGAGCGAAAACAAACACGCTTCTCTAGTTCATGTAGAACTAATGAACACCCTCGGGCAAGTTCGTTCTGTAGATACTTGGAAGTTTTCTTCTCTAGAAATAGTCTTTCCTCGAGGTTACACTTGAGCCCACAACAGACCGGCGCCCCACAGACGAATAATCTGGCGCAGCGCGTGTCGCCGTATGCCGCGGTTCTCTTGACCCAAGCTCTTCAGAGTTCGGATGGGGCTGTGTCCTTTGGGTTGGGCGTTGGGAAGAGAGACGGGAGGCCAAGTCTGATGGCTGATGTAACTAACGTGCATGTTTGTGATGTGGTGTGGTGTGGTGAGGTTTTGAGAGAAAGGGAGTGAGCCAGCGGCCAAAAGCACGAAATTCCCGCTACCCCCACAACATCTCTATATTTTCGCGGGCGGGTGCACTGCCTTTCGACGACGCAAGCTGCGTTGGTTTTGTTGCTGGTTCAGAGTCTGCACTGCTGTGGAGGCTGTAATTTTGTGCTGGTGATGTAGTACCTGGCTGTAGCTGTAGTTTTTTTATTTACGTGAATTTTAATTTACGCCAAAGCGAAATACCGGCGAGAACGGGTGGGGCTAGGCGCAAGTAGCCAGACGGGGGAGGAAATTGTGTTTGCCAGTGTTGTCGTGTGTTTATTTTACCTTGGAGCAGACCAGCCGCGGCGGTAGAATCCGTATGGAAGAAGTGGCCGCGTTGGCAGGCAATACGGGTCCCTTTCTCGGAGTGGCACAGCCACGGCCTCCGCCGGGTGGAGAAATTATAATACGTCACGGGTTGTGTTTTAGGTTTAGGGAATGTAAATGTGGATGCTTTGATGTGTATGCGACGAGTGCCGTGGGGTCGACAAAGCACGCCAAGGACGCAAGGGGGTATCATAGAAATGAGTTGTTGTGAGGCAGGTGTTGGTTCGTTTGGTGATTTGTTGTGTGGGTCGATCTTCCCGAGAGATTTCATGAATGGCTCCATTGTTGCCACGACAGACGAGAGTAATGCCCGTTTGTGCGGGAGAACGGGGGAACTGATGTTGTGTCGTGAAAATTGAAGTAATGATGAAACCGGTTAGACTCATAGGTAGAGGCAGGTTTGGCACACCGTTAATATTATCATGCGGTGGTCGAAGTCTTCCACGCGCAGCACACCATTTTATCTTCCGTTTGATTTCTAAAAGAAATGCTTACCCGTTTTTTCGGTAATTGGGCTGGACCACGTAAGGTGCCCGAGTCAGTTACACCAGCAGAGTACGGATATTAGAAGGTGCTGAGGAGATAGCGAACAGAACGATTTCTATTGTGAAGACCAGAGCATCGGGGCGGGAGAGAAGCTTTGTTTCTCGTACCCCGCCCCGGGAAGAACAACAACCAACACGGCGGTGTTGTCGTGTTCCCTTTACTTTACTCATCGTGATGAACAAACTTGGCGGCTTGAGAAAAACCAACAATCTCTCTGCGACTTACCACCATGCCCACCGGTCGTGACGTGGCTCGTCTGCGAAATGAATGATGCCGGTACTAGACTACACGGGCTTCCTCTTGCCGTTAACAGATCCATTGAACATGAGTAGGACGGAAAGCGAGGCCGGTTTGCACGCGCGCGTGGAGGGGGGGGGAGGGATGGTGGAGCCGGCGGTATCAACCGGAATCATTGCGTTGGCGCCGAATCAAAACAATCACGAATTATATTGCTGCTACTACAGTAATGTAGTACTGCAACTATTTTTACGCATTGCCTCGCATCAACTACTAGATACTGATGCGGTAGATGACACTAAACTCTGTCTTCGTACAAGCTGGGCCAGCCAAGAAGCTCACTTTCGTTGTTTCGCGTCTCATGCTGTCGTTTCCACGAAATTAGGCTTGAAATTTGGTGGTTACTCTTATGAGACAATAGGGAAAACGCAGATGCCAGGATTTTTCGAATCCGAGTTGATTTAGGTATTGAACAATCAATTGGCGGCGTAGTGGGGGATACTTTCGGTACTGAAATCAGCATCAAAAAAGTTTCACAGAATAAGCTGAAATTTGGTGTGCGCTTACCTGAGAGCATTGCGAGAAAATGATGGCAGTTGCAAGGCTCACATCATCTTCCATCAAGAGTTGCGGCCTCGAAAAGGATCCGATACAAAACACAAGATAGTTAAGAACATGTGAGGTTGTCGCAAAATACCATCACGATTTTTACGAGTTGGAATCTGCAATTTTGACATGTGGTTGGTATTGTTAAAACCAATACAACTGCTAGCCGTACTTTTTCTTTTTTTCGTTTTCGGTCCTCCTATACACAAACAAAAGGGTTCCCGTTTTTCCTTTAATAGCGCTACCTCATGAAAAAACACCAAAAAAATAAAGTACGGCCAGCAGTTGTATTTGTTGTACTAATACGAACCACATGTCAAAGTTTCAGGTTCCAACTCGTAAAAATCGTGGTGTAATTGGCTTTCAACCATTTTGTTAGCTTCTTGGCTGGCCCAGCTTGTATTGCATCGCCTTATCTTTTCCACTTCGACCTCATCTGGGTGCTGGGGACACAGCTAGGTGATGAGGGTAAATTCGTATGCCGCTTTGGACACACCCATCCGTCGCAACGGCCCGACTTTTGAGAGTGTCAAAACTACTACCGAAGAGTAAGCGTAACATATGCTAGTGGCAAACAATATTCCACATCTGTCGTGAGAGAAATCGACCTCGTCCAGCACTTGCCGCTCTTTAAAGGACGTATCTCGATGGAAAGTTGCAAACTGTCGTTGTTGGAGAACGAGACATTGAACAAGTAGGTCAAGTTCCCGCCCAAAAGAAATAATGGCTTTTGGCACCATAGGTCCAGTCTAGTCTAGGTGGCGAGACCTTTATGAGGGTCACATATCCCCCAACGCCTATCGAGGACGGCTCCCTCTAGTCACACATGCGCTAATTGATAACGTGGCGTGAGCTCATAGCTTAAGAAATCATTGGGGAAAACGCTTCCCGCGTTTCATACGAGGACTCCATTATTCTTGTGTGCACGGCATGATGTCGCCAGAGGAACAAACAAATCACGCAGCAAGCCACCTCTCTCAGGATTCCCGTTGGGATTTCGTCCCGGTACTCGTAACGTTCAAACTACAGCGACGATGTCAATAAAACGTTTTTTACTCTAATTTATATTGTCACAAATCAAGTCAGCGCTCACAGCACTTGTGCCGTTTTAACGCAACCCGTGGTCACACAAAATGATTCCTCCCTATCTATTTGGTTTTGGAGCAACTCTTTTCATTCCACCACCCACTACCATCGAGCAACATTGTCTCTACGAGGCCTCCACTTGGTCGGCCGCGGGTGGTTTCCTCGATGCTGTCCTGGTCGGAGAACGTTTAGAGACAGCATCGGTGTGAACCAGCGTAGCGCCGACACTGAACTTCGGCAAGAAGTCCCCCTGCCCTTCGTGATCCGAGCCAAGAGCATCCAGCCACCCGGCTTTCACGTTGGGAAAGGCGTCGCAGTAGCCGATGTACGGTTTGATGTCCAGCACCGGGGTACCTGTCCAGGAAGCGGGGGCAACAGGATGTGACAACCTCAAAATTATCTCACTCTCGCACTAAACAGAAACACAACAACAATCACGACACCAACGTTGCACTCGTCGGAGCGCAGCATTTGACAAAATCCAACGATCCTCTCTTGTGACCGTTTTCACCAGCGGTAACAAACGGACGTGCTGCTGTGTGAGCTGTTTAGTTGCAAGAGTCTAGCAAGACACCACCATCAACGGCTGAGAGCTATGTAGAGCTCACAAGTTGTGGTGCACGTCAGGATACATGCGCTTGATTATTATCTCATTGGTTCCATATTTTCTCTTTGTTTACGCTTACCGTCGAGCAGGTCCAGGCCGTGCACGTAGATCACACCGTTAGCGGCATCTACCCGCCCCACGCGCAGAGACGACAACGCAATCGCGTTCGGTCTGTGTGGGCTTCGCGTGGAGAAGAGGCCCTTTCTCTCCTCTGGTAACCGAGGGGGGCGGACCTTGGGATTCCATCCTTTGTTCAGGTGCATGTGGGTTAGTACCCAGATCATGTCGAAACCGCTTAAATCGTGAAGGGCTTCCTCTGTCCGTGTAACGTCCCACATACATACGAGAGGATGCGTGGGCAGTTGTTTAAAATACGTGTCATGATTCCCAGACGGAAGCAGGATGTGTCTCCACGAAGCAAAAGACGTTGGGTCTACCTTTCGAAGATGGCCATGTGCCAACAAATGAAAAGGTGGTGCAGCATGCAGGCGTGCAAACCACCCAACCGACCGCTAGCACCTGTTTAATCTTGCAAGGGTAATTACAGACAGATGAGGAACTTTATTAAGACTCTCTTGGACCGCCAGGGTGCTCACCATACCCGCGTCCTCGGAGAAACACGATCTGCCCTTCCTGAGCGCCCCCATGTAGCACAGAGGCGGTCACCTGCGGTTGGCGCGGAGTCCCAAACCTCTCCCGGTACGGACTCCTAACCACCGCCACGGGGCGGTATGATATTTCCATCTTGCCGACGTCTTCCACGAAATTGTCCGTGTAGGTAGCGCGTTCTTTAGGCTGCGAACAAAGCACCGCAAACAACAGCATCGAGAGAGCAAGCTCGCGCTCTCCCCCAACGAACTCATCACCTAGAGCCGTGCGCGCGTTCGCCGCAAAGGATGGAGCTGGTCGCATGCTTTGGATGTTCGCCAGAGCTTCGCCATCGTCCGACTTCTGAGCCTCTTCCACTACCGCCCTGGCCTGCTCGAGAGCTGAGAGGGGGTTCAGGTCTGCGGCCAACCAGTTTTCACATGCTTCCTTCACTACCGCCGCTGTGCTCTTCTGTGGGCTCTTCGCCGCCGCAGCCCTCAGTGCATCCGCAGCTTGCTTCGCCGTTGCCCTGACGTTGCTCTTCCCCAGCTCAAGTTCAACTACAGATTCAGGGTATGACCCCGCGCGGAAAGCGACGGACACCTTCGCCTGGCCGACGGCAGCAATGGCAAGCACCATTCGAGACCGAGAACCACGGACGCAGCACTCAAAGTCAGTGTACCTTGTGCCCATAGATCCAGAGCCTTCCTCGCCACCGGGGCGCTCCGCCAGGCGAGGAAGCACAAGCACGGCATCCGACCGAAGGAGGGCTGGAGTAACATGGCGCAGCTGCGTTGATCTTACGTGTCTGGTAGAAGAAGAGCTGCCCGCGACGCAAGATCTACCCACGTAGACAAACGAGAGGTCCGGGTTGCGCTGAAGATAGGCGCGCGTAGTCTCGAAGTCCTGCACCGCCCAGCCTGTTCCTTCCCCGCCCCCAGCGCTTGCCCACGAGCAGCTAACGTAGAGCACACGCAGCTGCTCGACTCCGGCAGTAGCCGCCCTCGCCTGGCCTAGAGAGACAAGTTGGTCGCGGCATTCGGCGTAAGGCACAAACCGCCCGGCGACGATGAAACATGCCCGTGGGAGGAGAAGAAGCGACTCGTAGTCTCCCTCGCCGATGCTCTTGATGTAGGATCGGGCAACCCTCGTCCAGGCGTCGAGTGCGAGGCACCGAGGCGCCAGGTTTTTCTTGCGGCTACGGGTCCTTCGCGACGACAGTAGTACTTGGTTGCTTCGTTTTTCTTCCTCCGATGGCGGCGACGCGACGCCGGCCGCTCTGGCCTTAGAGTTGTCCTCGCTCTTCTTTATCCGTGCTCGACGCTTGGCCCCCCTGACGCTGCATGGGTGTTGTTGGGTTTCCTTGTTACCCCCACCACCTGCGAACCTCCCAACCGCAAATCCAACCACCAAGGCCGAAGACAGTGCTAATATGTTGGTCGCAACGGCGGCAACGGTTGGACCCATTGTCCGCCGCCAACGAAGAAATGTCCTGCGGTGCTGCTGTAGCCGTCTGTAGGATCCACTTCACAGCTGCGCAGCCGTCAGAGTGGAGTGTTGAACTTCAGGTTTTCAGCATACACACGCTGATGCATACGCTGGAAGCACCAAAGGTAGAGCCGTTGCGCAGAAGAAAGGAGCATTCGAGGTCTCAAGTGCCCAACAGAGTTGTGGCGTTGTGGCCAAGCCTCGAGCTTCAAGGCTGCGAGCTGCGACAGGCTGCGTGGCTTGGAGCAAACCCGCCGCACCGTAGCCACGGTGCCCCCACCCCTCCGGGTTATTGTGCGGGGAGACCCGCAGAGCACGCAGAGGCAGGAGCAGGCAGCCAGCAGACCAGACGAGCGAGCATAGTAGTAGTGTGCCGGCATCATCCTGTAATGTCGGGCGAGAGGGCAAAACTGGTCGTTCTCGGGCTTGTTCTTGCGGTCATCGCCCGTTCATACATCATGAGTGATGTCTTCACGCGTGGATACATGATGAGGTGAGACCTGGGTGAGCGCGGAACTGCTGTTGTTTTTTTTGCTGCGCCAACGGGAGCACACCACACAGTAGGACACCTGCGCGGTTTTGCCTGTGGTGTGTTCTGTGATCGATACTGCCCGAAGGTCTAGTTCCAGAGGCGGGAGTCCTTGTTCGTAGCCCGTACTCCACGGACCACGACGCTTTGAACGTCGCTGTGATGCAAATTGCAGTTCCGCAGTTCGCGAGTTCGCGCGTTGATCGTTCCGCCGCTCGCTGGAGTTGCGCCGCATCTCTCACCTCTGTTTTGCGTTTTGCGCCAACGCGGAAGCAGGCTCTGCCGGTTATGTTGCTTGCCTCCCGTCCCTTGCATACCTCCTCGACAACGAGTGAATGCCACAAGCATTATCCAATAATCACGGCGTTGCCGAACGAGACGCGACAACACCGACACATACATGCAGTCCCATAGACGGAAGTCTTCCGGAGGTCATTTACCACGTCGTTAGGCTCTATGGAAGTCCGCAAGGATCCCACTACGGAGTGTGGAGATACTTCGAAGAACCGAAAAGGATTTTCGAGTTTTATCATCACACTTCTCCCCAATATTAGTATATTTGTACCGGCTTGCTGTGCTGGTAACTTGGGAGACATATTTATGTGGGAATTGTAAACTTCCGACTACCGGTTGAATATACTTGGGATAGAGTTAGCGCTCAACAAGAGGTTGTCTCGTTGTTTGAGAAACATCCCCCCATGTATGAACTACTAACACACATAGGCACATGTTGACGTCAAACCCCAAAAAGCAGTTGAGGACACCTTCTTGTGCATCCGGAAGTCCCTCAAGGCATGGCATACATGGAAAGCTCGGAAAACTCGTGCCTACTACCTCTCTCGTTCACCGACTTGATCGTGCCCTGCGGTCCTGTCGTCGCTGCCAGCGTTCTCTCGCTACATCTGAAGTTCAACCGCAACCACGTGTGTTGGTAACAATATTTCATACTCAGCGCTTCGAGGGGCTCAGATGGTCGATGACATGGTCGATGCAACGGCGGTCTTTGAGCAGATTTCCCCTGCCCCAAGTAGTCCCCTGCTCAACTAGACCGCTGTTGGCTTGCATTGCGTGGGCCATGTGAGCCCATCAGTAATGCTGTAGCGGAGAACCCCACAGCTGTTGCCGTCCCGTCATCCGGCCCCTGCTTAATATAAGGCCCCGCTTGCCCACCGACCCCTTTTCCAATGTGGTTCCAGTTCCACCCTCGGGTTTTTCGAAGACAACTTGTGTAAGGGAAGGCCGCCGGCAGACCGGGATGGCTGCAAGGCCACGCTGGCGACGGCGCTTGCTCCTGCAAAGCTCTCCTGCATGTCTGTTTTTCACGACTTCGTCCGTTGTCGAGACCCCGCCGACGGTGGTGGTGGTGGTGGTGGTAGAAACAACCTACCCTGCCAGAAGGAGAACCAGAAAATCTTCGAGTGCTTGCAGGTGTGTTCGCGCGCGTTCGGGACGGTGCTTGGATTGGTTCCTGTGCGACGAGCGGCTGTGCTACAGAAATGTGCCGGTTATCTTGTGCAGGCCAAGAAGGACACACACACACCTCTCTCTTAGCAACGTATCTGTTTCTCCTGTTTTGGGTTGCAACCTCCAGAATGCGCATCGCTCGCCTCCGCCACAGATGCACAAATCAAAACGACAACTCTCTTCTGCTCCCTGGCCCCACCCGTGGCAGGCACACCTGGCACCCTACGGTTTCAGTGACGAGGAAATCTTTCGGCTCATCTACAAGACTCAGCAGCAGCCCCCCCCGCCATCAAAACCGTCCGTGGAGGTTTCAGACCACGGCAGGGAAGGAGACGAGAAGGCAAAGGCCAATGAGAAGCCGGGCGAGGGTGATAACGCGGGGGGCAAGAGTGCGAACCGTGGAGAGGAGACGGATGTAGAAAAAGGAGGGCCAAAGGTGGAGGTAGAACATGAGCCGAAACAAGGCGGGGGCGGCGCGCGATAGCGCGTGTAGAGCGCAGCTGTGGAGACTTCCCCGAGTTAACGTGTGTAAAAAGAGTCCCGCGTAAGCAGTATATCGATGTGTCGTGTCCGTGTTGCGTGAGTGTGCATGTCGCATAATCGACCACTTTCTCACACATTTTGAAAGGTTTGTTGTTAGACGAGAAGGGAATTATCAACCATACCACAAGTGTCGGCGTTGTGAAAGTAACGTCTAGGGCATGCTTAAACATTGGGCTGCTGTTTCAAAGAGATTATAATACTTGCCTTATAGGCTTCGATGGCTGCACACGCAAAAACATATTGTGCGGCGAACGAACCCAGCTGACCTGTATGAAATCAACCAAACAAGTGCAACGCTGTTCTGTTGCCGCGTTATCGTGCAACCGTCGCTGGGGCGCGAACATCAACTCGTTTAGTTTTCCAGTGCCTGATACGCAAGAAAAACGTATGTTCATCCCCATGAACCCAAGCCAACCACACCAAACGTCTCGTCAAAAATCACGTGTCGAAGTTGAATTATTGTCACTCACGACCCCAACAACAGCCAGCAGTATTCAATGTCCAATGATGGACGCTATCGCCGACGAGTTCAGAAGGCCGCGCTTTCAATTCTTCATGGTATAGTACACCGCTGCTATCGCCCCGATGACTAGCACGAGCCCGATCCCGTACATGATGCATCTCTGTTGAACCTCTCGTCGGTTCATGTTGTGAACCAGTCGGCGCGCGCTTGTAGTCATGCCTGACACATCTCGCACCTGAACAGCGAGCGGCAGGCAATGTACCCGAGCAATCAACAATTTTCGTCGCTGTGCTGGAGAACATGATTGTCGCCGTAAATTTCGGTCTCCATGTCCTTGTCAAATTTAGCGGTCAGGGCCGATTTCAATGCAGGCAAGACAAGTTTTTTTTTCACAGGCGGTACGGCATGGCCATAGTAGCCGCTGCCTCGACGACAATACAATCGTTCCGTTACCCAATGCCAGCTGCCGCTGCTGTACACGCTTCGAGAGGAGAAAAAGAAAATCATGTCGAGCCGTACCAAGGGAAAGAGAGATAGGAGTGTCGTAGCAGCATCAGCGGGTGTCAAGAGGGGTGATGGAGTGTCGAAAATTGGGCGTCAGCACCTAGTTTTGCCCTTTAGGGTTGGGGGAGTTGGCTCCATCCGACCTCATTGTAAGGTCCTAAGAGGGCGTAAAGCCGCGACAACCAACACTCCACCACAGACATATGTGACGATCTGCCCACCGTTTCGGGCAAGGCTTTGTACTGTAGCAGGAACGGCGTGATTTTCAAAGTCCAACAAACGTCACACGCGCCCAAGATTGCTCCAGGGGCCGATGCCGTGGAATGCACATTCAGCAAAAACGAGCCAAACAGGCGCCGTTATTGCCCAGTTCACTTAAGCTCGGCTGGCAACAGCGAGGCAAGTCGAAACAAAGCACATGTTGTTCGCCCTCGGTCGGAAGGGAGGCTGTGCAATAACAACCTAACTCAGGGACGTACTCTCGAAAGCTAACCACCGTTGAATGGGGCTCAATACCTAAAATTGTGGCGCTGTGTCGAACCTAGACTATGTACCTAAGACTACTTCCCAGAACCACAACCAGAATGCACAGAAAAAAACACCCCGTGACATCTAAAGAGGGGTGTGTTGAAACAGCAAATAAAACATATTTGCGACAAACCACGGTACTTGAAGAGGGCAAAACCTTCAAGCTTGGTTTTCCGCCTACATAAAACCACAACGCTTTATTCCTTGGACAAAAAAAAAGAAGGTATCACTCTCAAGTCCTCCAAGCAAAGGCTAGTGCGTATTGCATACACAGGCTGCGTGGAAAGCGTGCGAGAAGCTGATACAAAAAAAAAGCCAGGTAGAAAGAATGCTGCGCAGGCACAATCTGTGAAAAGTAAAAAAAAAAACTTTTACATGTATCAACTCTTACGGGAAACCTTCGCAGATCTACAGCAACCCCCAAAAGAGTGGGATTCCAAGAATCTACGGAACCAGAACACTGCACATCGACCTTCTCGGCAAAACAAGCCGTAGGGAAGGTCGCACCACCAAAATATTTACAAGCGGAGCAAAGGGCCACGCCAACAAATCCCAGCAGATTATGATTCGCATCCGCAAACAAACAAACGCCAACCGTATGTCAAAACCGGAATACAGGTCGGTTCAGCGGCGCGGCGCGGCGCGGCGCGGTTCGGCGCGATGGTTCGTGAATGTTTACAGATTGCGGAACCAGCCGTTCATCTTGTCGAGGATGCCCTTGCCCTCGTCTAGGTTTGATTTCGTCTCCCGCACCTACCGTATGTCGGGCACGGGCGCGCGCGGGCAACAACAACAACGGCACGCACAGCAACGACACACGCAGAGCATCCCATGTGTGTGTGTGAGAGAGAGAGACATACGCCGCTAACTCGTCGACCAAGGATCCCTCGCACGAGCAGGGAGTTAACACTGTTTACCGAAGAACAACTACGGGACGCATTGCAATGCCACAAGTCATGCCCGTAAACAAACACTTTCGCTTGGCAGCAACTCGCCTGAGGCTAGATCCTGCTCAAGTGAGTCCATTCGCACGACTGACCAAAGCAAACGCGGAACCCCCGTTAAGCAACGTTCACATCACAATAAAACACCATTGTCCCAGCCAAAGCCTGCACATACCCTTGGACTAAAACGTGGGATATATATACCATCCTCCATAAAAGCCAAACTCGAAACACAGGGCAGCGAACTGCCAAAACGCTCGTGCGCTTCACATATCGAACAGTACGGCACTGCAGCAGGGTGCGGTGTGGACCTGCTTGCGCGAACCCCCTGCTTGGTACCAGGCAAGCAAGCACCTTGTGCAACACGCACCCGGGGCGGGGCTTCGTGTCTCAGGGGCACCGGCGAATGACATATGTAGGCCATGCACAGCACCCAACAGCTTTGTGCGGGCTTGACATAGAGAGGTGAAAGTAAACCATCCTTTGAGTGGATGGTTTGAGTTTGGACGGGTCTGATAATTGTTGGCTCGGAGCGCGCTGAGGACACTTTAAGAAAAAAGCCATGTGGTTGAAAAAATGGTGTGACCGTATCCATATATCTTACGCGTGACGTACTGCTGTATGGGTCAGAAAAGGACCAAGGATCTCCTGTATGCATGTCCGTGTAGACGGTCAGGTGAGGTCGTTTGCTATATAACTTGAGGCTCGGCGGGAACAGCGACCACTGTAGGGACGGCCCGAACAGTTAACTATCTTTGGGGGCACGAACGGCCAAGGCTAACGTTGCGCGGCCTATAAGAAGAAAGCCAAGACACCGTCATCGGGCACTCCGTCCGTTCCTCCCAACTCCTCACCTTGTCGTGCACCTCTCCGATCTTCTCTCGGTTCCGTCCCAGCTCCGTCGTGATTTCCATTGCTTTTCGATCATACGAACGATGAGACACAAAGACGGGCCGCGAGCAAAAGTTATGGTTGTTTCGAGACACGGCAATGTTGTTTTCGAGACACGTGCTGAGTGTTGCGGACGGAGAACAGATGGGCGGAAAATGTGGGCCGAGGTGTGGCAAAATTGCTGGCACTTCAAGTAAGGGCGCCACGAACCAGTGGTAGCTCTCGGAACGTTCACCTACCATGCTTGATAGCCCGAGGCCGGGAAAGCCTCAGGATGACCCCATGACTTTTGACTTGGGGGGGAGATTAGAACAGACAAGCCGCTTCGCGAAATGGGTCGATTGCCGATGGGACCGTGGGCAGCCAGTCACCGCACAGTCTTACAATGAAGACGGCAAGAAAAAACCACGAGAACGTCAAGAGACTACAACCTTCATCACCAACCACTGTTTTTCTAATAGCTTTGTCGTAGTCATCGTAAAAAGAGCCT